TGCGCCTCCCTCCTCCTGAAGCAAAAGCAAAAAGAAATACCCCCAAACAAAGAAAGTAAACTAGTTTTCATTAAATGAGCAAAAGAAATCTGACAATTACAGTTATAATACTTAATTTCCTTGTAACTCTGAAGTACAACCTTCACTTGGAGATTTTCTGTCTGTATTGGATCTTTTTTTCCTGAGCCTTTTATTTTTATCTCTTCTGAGACCCCTTTATCCATTATTCTATCTATCTAAAAGTCTGTATTGCTCCCTGAACATCTTTTATTTTCATTTTACTTTGAACTTTTCTTTTAAAGAGACTGGTCTTGCAATTCATTATAAATTTCTCAATTGGTGTGTCTGTCTGTCCTCTTTAAGTACTGGGAATCAAACTCAGGGGTGCTATACCACTGTTACAGCCCCAGGCTTTTAAATTTTGAGACAGGATCTTGCTAAGTTGTCCAAGCTATCCTTGAATTTGTGATACTCTTACCTTAGCTGGGATTATAGGCATGTATCATTACAACTGGCTTCTCAAATGCTTTGAAAAGAACACCCTCCCCCTTCAAAGTCATACCTCCTCTGGGAGCCATGAGAGATTTCTGATTAGTACCACTAAATTAGTAATAGGGCATTTCCCAAGAAATATTTCACTTTTCTTTCTCCATCTATATCATATTTGAAACTAGAGTTCAAGAATATGTAGGTTAAAAACAACAACAAAAGTCCACATAGATGTCTTTATTCTCTGAAATTAAGTGTGTTTTATCATTAAGTTGTCATTTAATCAGCTTTTAATGTTACCAGGCCCTGCCCTACCGTGTGTGGGGTGAAGAGCAAGTTTGTTTATTGTATCTAGTGTAAATAAACATGGTTCTGTCAGTCAGTCATTCAGTCAAAAAAGAATTCTTTCTGACTTGGAATACATGACTAAATGGGATGGTGCTTAAATCTCTAGAGTCTTTCTTTATTTCCTATCTTTTACATCTAAACAATTGCTGCTTCAAATTCTAAAACTCACTCTAAGCCTGTCTTTTTTCTCTCTTGTAACCAAGTAGATCCAGTTCACTGCTGTCTGTCGCTTGGACCAGTGCAAAGGCCTTGTGCCTAGTCTCCTTGTCTCAGCAATTCATTCTGTGCATAGCAGCCTAAGTGATCTTAGAAAATGCTCTCTGAGGCCACTATCCTCTCCTGGATAACACTTTCGAGCTTATCTTTCTGTCAGGAATATTCCTTCCTTGATTTTTTTCAGAGGGCCAGCTCTATCTTACTCAGATTTAGTTTAAATACCAGTTTCCTCAGAGAAGCTTTTTCAGGGAAAGGTCTTCTAATTACTCTCAGTTACATCCCTCAGTGCTGTTTCTATCATAGCACCGATCAGTGTTTTCCATTAGCATGTATATCAGGTGCATGTGTGTCCCCATGTCATTTTGTATTAGGTAGAAGGCTCTGTGAGAACAGGGAACTTTCTGAACTGTTCATCTTATTGTTCAGAACCACTTCAGTGTTTGGCATGTAGTACATATTCAGTAAACTTTTTAAAGCAAATGAATGAAAATTTGGTGATAGAGTTAGAAGATTTCTTGTTTTGTGGTACACAGCATGACCCACTGTTTGCTGAGAGGTAAGGAAACCAGAGAAATCTTGTCCTACAGTCAAACCTGCCCTTGAAGGTCAAGTCCAAAAAAAGGAATATAGAACCATTTAGTACATTTATAACCTACGTCTCTGTGTTTCTTTAGTATTTTTTTCTAAGATAGCATTTGTTGGATTTTGGGGGAAGCATTCATTTCTCTAATTGTGGAAAGGGAAGATAAGGAGCGGACACTCCCTCCATGCTGGAGGTGGAGTTCAGGTAGATGGTTCATAGCTGTTTGTCTCTGGGTCTAAGGAGTGCAGGAAGACAGTAGTAGTTGTTAACTAATGAGAGGACCATACAGGTAGGGAAGGACTGGAACAGCACTGGGACCTACATCTTGCTTTTTATTGTTGTTGTTGTTTTTTAAAGCAATTTCTTCAAACAAAGAGATTTGCCTCCTTTAAAGCCTTATAGAATTTGTAAATTCCATGTGTAGCCTAGTTAAGAAAGTATGAGTTGTTGGCCATCAAATTATTGATCACTTCTAATTTCTCCAGGAATGCCAGCTTGTTACTGAACTTTTTGTTTCCCTCTTCTTCTAGTTCTTCGAATCTTGTGACTTGCCTTAGCATTTTGTATACACAATAAGATAGTAGGGATGAGGGCCTAGCTGTTTGGCAACATTTGACATCATTTGTATGGTATATTATTTTCCCTCCCATTTGTGTGGTCTGCATGGCATGATAACAGCATAAAAGTATGTACTGCCTGAAATTTAGTGACTTAGTTGGCATAAGTTGAGTAGAAAACCATACTTTCACATTGTTTCACAATACAGCTCAAAAATTAGATTAAGAGTTACTGTCATGTGTAAAGGATCAAGACATGATGTACATATGTGCTGGAACCTATACCCCACAATGAATATACTCATTATGTATTGCAAACATATTCTAAAAAACAAAACAAAAACCAAAGTGTGTCAAGCCAAGCATCTGTAATTGCAGCTACCAAGAAGACCAAGGCAGGAGGGTTGTAAATTTGAACCCTGCCTGGGCAATTTTTTGAGATCATATCTGAAAATTACAATGACTGTGGATGCAACTCAGTGCTTCCTCAGTTCAATCCCCAGTTCAATCCCCAGTATGCACCACCATTGCCATCACCATCACCAAAAGAGAAAGAGAGGAAAAATAAAAATTAGTGTCACTAACTTCAGCCAGTTTCTCCCTCTTCTTCCCACTTCCCAACTTTTTTATATTTGGCTTCTTACATTTTTGTTAGGGAATCTTGCCTTCCTGGTTACATGTATTGACAGGTATCATATTGCATTGATTTTTCTTTTTTTGGAGACCATAATGCCTTATTATATATTGTCCTGTGCTCTGATTACTTCTCACATTTTCTGAGCACATAAAATAATTTGTCAATAGGAGATTATTATGTGTTTTGTTTCCCCAGCTAGCTTCTTGTGAACAAGGACTATTTCTTTATCTTATTTTGAAATGCATACATCACTCTATAATCTAGAGTCCATAGTAAATGATTAAGATGAGATTAGAACTTGAATTTAAAAGCCCTGCAAATTTCCTACTCTTCTGAGGCAACTGAACATGGTAGACATATGGGTTGTGGATATTGCACATTTTGTGGTTTCTTGTTGTAAATAATTTTGTTGGCGAATTAATAACATTTTGGGATGACGTGGTAGTTGGATCCATTTGTCTAAAAGAGTCTAAATTATTGGATCCACTTTTGTAAAAGAGATTTTAAATTGTTGTAAACAAGAGTTTGTATCTTGCCAGTTTTGAGTTTTAGGGTAATATTTGTTCACTCTTCAAAAACAGTCTGTTCTTCGGTGATTTCAATGCAAGTTCTTTATGTGACATTCATTGTGAGGCTGCTGCCGTGAATGAGACAAATCCCATTCTTGCTGCTGCCCTGCAGAGCAAACGTCAGGCAGGATCTCATGCACAATCCAGAACAAGAGCATACAAAATCTTCTCAACTCTGCCCTCAGCTTGTGTTTTTGATTCATTGCCTTCCCACAGATAATCTATACTTTAACTGAATTGTTTCAGTCATTTCCTAAACTTAGCTCATGCCTCCATGCCTCTGTTTTGCTTCCAAAAATACTCAAACCTGCTCATTCTTCATAGCATCATTTATGCAAACCTTTTGGAATTGTGCTCTTCTTAACCCCTCATCTCTCTACTGTCCTATGATCCTTTGCTTTTTGAATTGCCAGTGTTAAGAGTTATTTGGGTCCTTTGTTTCTCCCTTCCTGGATTATAAGGCTCCAATCTGAGAAAAATATGAAATTTATATATTTGTTCCTCTCATTTCACTTAGCCTTGTTTTTAAAGTGCTATCCCACAGAAACATAACAAACAAAAGCATTTTAATTGCATTAACTATGAAATGTTTAGGAAGCAAGTGCCATTTTTAACTAAGCTAAAGTTAGGATGTTTTCCTTTTTCTTCCAAAGATCCTATAGCTAGAGTTTAGTGCTATTACAGAATCACTGGCTGGGGGGGGGTTCTTTAATAACTCACTGCCCCCTTTCTCAAACAAAGATCATAAACAAATGGTCATAAACATATGAGTATTTCTATCCTGTTTCCAGAAAACCTCTAAAGAAGGAAACTACAGCTTTCTTGATGTAATGTTTTCAGTTTTGTGTTAAAAACTTTAAGCTAACCAAATGCACAATCTTGTAATTAACAACAATTTTATGATTTCATTTTCTTTTATAAACATTAGCTAGAAATGACTTTTATTTTGGACCTTAGTTTATATTTTCATGATACCCCGTTGAATGTGTGGAGTAGTACAAACTTATCTATTGTTAATTAGGGACTCTGACCTTCAGGTCCAGCCCATAGTATAATAGCCATGTTTGATTTTTTTCCCAATACTATCATGTCAGTTCTTGCTGCTAAAGCCTGTAGGGATTCCCTGTAATTTTTCAGATGAAAATACCTAAAGTACCTGGTAATAACTACTGTGGAAAAAAGGGAATTTATGCATGCAAACAGCAGTTTTGGGGAACCAAAGGTAGGGGGGAGATATTGATTGATGCCTGGGGTTTTGTAAGTTGCTTCTTCTCTTTGGCTAGTTAATAATATATCTAGTTCCAATTTTAGAATTCACTGTCAAATAATTTATTTATGTTCACTTAGCTTTTATTTCATTACCAAAGAAAATGTTATAGTTATTGCTATAAGTAGTCTTTGCTCTTTTAAAACTGTTACATTCCCATTTGAAAAATATGTATGAGATTGTTACATTGGTGTTATTTTCCTGACTCTGAAGAAAGGAACTTTTAAATAAATTAGTTATTGTCTTCTACTTATTGAACATGTGGTCAGTTGTCATGTTCATACATCCAAATGATCAAAGTCTGAACTTCTGTCTAATTCTTCCCTGCTGTTAGGCTACCCTGTCATGATCAAGGCCTCAGCAGGTGGTGGTGGGAAAGGCATGCGCATCGCTTGGGATGATGAAGAGACCAGGTGAGAGGCTGTCCAAAATATACTTTTGATGAAAATTGCAGTTACCAGAGTTTTATTAAAGTGACAGGTAAACAGATATCCAAAGTATAATGGGGTAATCACAGTGACTGTCTAATTTTAAATTTTCAAATGGGATAAAAATTGAAATTATTCAGAAACCTTCCTTATCTAACTTTTATTATAGAAAAATTTTTGTTTCCTTAAACATAAGCAGAAAATTTTTCTTATTCTTAAAGTATATTTTAGAAATTAGAATAATTCTCTTTTTCTAGGCAGAAATTACTAACATTTGGCTGTTTAATTTGGCATGGTGTCTAGAGAGTTGAACCGAGTATATTTCATTGAGAGTTTATGTGTTACCTCAATATGTATTTGTTTTCCTTTGTGATAGAATTGTCTCCATAGAGATATTCCATCACTTTGAAAATTTTTTAGTATGAAATTCATTCTTTTCTTTCTGGGTTTGAAATTGCTTCATGTCCCTCATATACATGCCTTTTGCTGTAAATTTAGAACATTTCTTTTTTACTAGTTTCAGAAATTAGAAGTAATATTTAAATTTAAAATTTTTATCGTAATGCATCGATAGCATTATAATTATTAGAAAATAATTGTTTAAGCAATTGCCCGACATAAGCAGGTTTTTGTGCACTCTTATCTGGTTTGTATTCTTCTAGATTTGTTAGTGGGAGAGATTTGTGTCATTTTTAGAGATTGGGGTTGAAAAATCACAGAATTATTATTTTATTATTAGTGTTATCTTACCTACTCTTCCACTTAGCTAGTTTTCCAAATAGTTAATTCTGCTTTCTTTTGCTTTTCTTATTTCCTTCCATATTCAAGTCCCTCTTAAATTTTATAGGTACTAAAATCTGGAGTAGTCTGAAAGTCATCTTTTAGTACAGTGGTATGCAAGCCTTACTCAGAAATTAGCTTCTAAAGTGAGACAGTGAGGTGAAAATCTGCTGGAGACAGAATGTTCTTCATCCAGACCTATGGAAAGGTACCATGTTGGGGACTTGCACCAACAATTTTATCTTTAGAAGAACACTGGATCATAGGACTGTTGTTTCTTTGGTTGACATCAGGGAAGTTACTTATCTTGTGTTGTGAGGCAGTGGTCTTTAAACTGTTACTTTCACACTGGCACTGGCATCAGATACTGACAGAGACAACAGTAGGGTCTCTTCTCCTGCCTTGATACCAAGTCAGCAAGAAGAAACATATTTCATGGACTGGCATTACTTGCTGACAGGTACTGTTTTAGGGAAATAGCAATGAACAAAACTAGAAAATAATCAATTTTTTCATTTTATGTGCTTAATCAAGTGTTCTTACCTTTGAAATCAGGGAATATATTCATGAATTTAGACAGTTATTTAAAGGCACTTTTTTTTTTTTTTTTGGTACCAGGGATTGAACTCGGGTCCTTTTGCTTGTGAGGCAGGCCACTGAATTGCTGAGCTGAATCCCCAGCCCAGCACATGTTTGTTTTACCAACCACTACCTGGAATTTAGTGTTCCTTCCAGCGTAGCAATAAGCCATAGTAATACAAGCATCTCTGAAATGTTTCATCACAAGGAAATCACATGAATTTTCTTATCCCATTATGGGGTTACAGAGACTTCTTAGTTACAGTGATTTTCAAACCCATTGGTGGACCTTATTATTTAATAAAGATGTGAGTATTATATCCTAAATGTTTAAAAATATTTTGATATGTATTTTGGAGTGTACTTTCTTATGCAGTCCTTTGCATTTTAAATTATTATTTTTTAAATTTTTATTATTTAATAGTATTATTACTACTACTATGAGATTTGGGGATTGAACTCAGAACTTTGCTTTGCTCATGCTAGATAAGTGCTCTGCCTTCAGCCTGGTTATTATTATTAGGCTTTTAAGACACAGGATTTCATTTTGTTACCTAGACTAGCCCTGCCTTGGCCTCCTTTGTAGTTGGGATTGCAGGTGGATGTCACCATTCCTGGTAACACCGTGCATTTTATAGCACTTTACACCTTATTTTGATAGGAAGTTCCATATGCTGTATCATTCTGCAAAAGATATTTGTGGCATAAATAAGATTGGTAAATTCTGTTCTGGTAGTAGGAGCCAAGCAGTGAACAACAACTACAACTCTTGTGGAAGGTGAGAAGTAGTATAGGAAAAATAAGAAAGGGAGGTTCATGGTATGTGTTAGAGGAAGTATCCCTTTACGACAGGGCTTATAGGACTTTCCTCACTGGGAAGGTGACACTGGAGGAAGATAGCAATAGCATAGAGAGTTAAGGATCCCGGTGAAGGAACAGAAGGCACAGAGGTCCTCATGCAGTAGCATCTGAAGTGGTCCAGGAGCAACACAGTGGCCTGGTGATGGAGGGAGGCAAGAGTAGGTCAGAGGGGTTTGTGTGTGGTGAGGGTAGGTCTTGTAGGCCATTCTTAGATTGGGGTCTATCAGAGGTTTCAAGTGAAGAAGTCAGTCATGGAGGGAGCTTCAACAGATTTTCCTGGCATTGTTTATATTTTTTTAATTAGGAAAAACTTCATACATGTAAAAATTAGAGAGTATAATGAACTTCCATGTGTGTGTGTCATTCAGATGAGTCAGTTATCAAGATTTTTGTGACTTAGGTTTTACAAGGTCATTGTGGTTGCTATCTCGGTAATAGACTGAAGGAGGCCAGGACTGTGGTCTGTAGAATCAGGGAAAGCAGTTAAGAGATTGTTGTAATCATCCATGAAGAAAAGTAGCGATGTTGCTTTCACCAGTGTGCTAAGGTAGAGGTGATAAGAAAGAGTTGAATTCTGAAGGTAGAGACAAGATTTGCTAAGTGATTGGACATAGAATGTCATAGTGTTTGGGGGTGAGGTATAGATACTTCATTTTATTTTGTGATCTTTCTTTGTGTTTGGTCTTAGTTAAATTTATGAGAATTAAATACATTTGATGCAACTCTGCTTTACTTTGAAAGTTTCTTGGGAGTTGCTCAGAAGTTTAGGTCAAAACGAGGGCTTTTATCTTCAGAATTGAAGAACAGTTGGTCTGGTTCTTAGCTTCTCTCTGGAACTCTCCCAGCCTGGCTTGGTACCTTCTGAGAGAGAATTGGGGTACCCGTGTGAAATGTTTAGAGTTGGGCTAACTAGTTGCTATGTGTGGATAGAAGCAAGCAGAAGGGGAGGAGACGTTCTTATTCCATTTTGAGCTCATAAACCAACCTATTTGACCTTCCTCTCTTAAGTTCAGGTTTTTAATTATTGTGAGTTTTACCAGTGTTCTCATTACTTTTACAGGAACTCCCCCTCCCTCCCAAGCAATACTGGGAATCAAACTCAGGACTTTGCACTTTCCTGGCTGGCATGACACCACTGAGCTAAAGTTAGGTTGACTAACTGACTATCTCTTTTTCTCAGTTTGTAACTCTGGTGAGCCAGTGGACCTCTCAGTGGGGGGTGTCTTGAACTTTCTCATAGTGTGGTGGTTTTGAACTTCATACACAATAACCCATGGCTCCAAGGTCAGTTTCAATCCAGGTGGAAGCCATATGACTTTTATGATCCATCTCAGAAGTCACACGGGTTCTCTTCCGCTGTCTTCTGTTGATTACATGCTTCTGTCTAAATTCAAGAAGGGATTTTGACTCCATATGTGCAGGAGAGTGTGAATAGGTTCTTATAATAGCATGTATAATAGTAGGTGCTATTGTGGTTATCTTTGGAAGCACAATGTGCAGTATACAGCCCCTTTGTAGAAAAAATGGTTATGATAGTGAACTGAATTTAATGGTTTTGTGTGAGATGGATATTTTATGATCTTTAATTTTTTCTCATCGTTTTTCTGTCTTGCATGATATTATTATGTAGCAACTTCACTGAAAGCCTTTTACTTACTTTTCTGTATTCTTCTTGAGATCCCAGAATTCTTAGCAGACATTTTTCGAGGCTTCCATTAGTAGTACTGTTTTATGGGAGGGATTACTCTTCACAGTTTCTGGGCAGTGAGACTTGCTGTGCTGTTGTTGATGTATGAATTTTAATTTAGACAGCATTTTTCAGAAGTCACTTTACTCTTACAGCAACCTTTGGGATATACTTTAACTCTTTCTCAGCAAGTAAATGACACACTGATTCAAAATACATTTATATAGTTAATAAAAATTAGGACAATTTCTTTCTAAAAATATTACTGTCTTCAACTTGATAAACCATCTCTGAAACCTTATTTAGATTAACAGAGGCATGACACTTTTATTTAGTGAAAATTGCTCTTTATTTTAAAAAGTTGTTCTATATCCCTGTTTATCTGGAAAATCGAAACTATAGAAAAGTTGAGAGACTAGTCCGGTGAACACTGACTTGTCTTCTATAATCACTGTTAATGTTGTGCTGAGACTTATCCACTCCTCTGTTCCTCCCTCTCTCTCTCCTGGAGGAAGAAAGCAATTTTTGTATAATCCCAAACATTTTAGTATTTTTTGATGCAGTGTAAAATTTAGTAGCCATTAATTACTTTGTCTTTTATCCTTGGGATGTCTACCTCTTAATACCATTTTTTCCCCTCAGTTTTTCAGGGAAGTAGCATCTGTGACATATCTTAAAATCTTTAAAGCATTGGAAAGATTTTAAATGGATGTTTGATGTTGTATAATAGAGAATAGAACCACGAAGGTCGTTGAATGAGGAATGAGATATTTTCTTAATAATCACTGTTTTTTTCCCATATTGCGTTTCTCGTGGAATGTATGGCATGAGTGGAATTAATTGTGTCTTCATGTTGGAATATCCCCACTAGAGCTTAGGCACTGTAAGAGCAGTTTCTGTTTTATTTTTGTATTCCTACTACCTTGGTAATTGGTAATTACTTACTGAATCAATGTAAAATTAAATGTGAAAAAGATACTCTTTTTATGTTTTGGCACTGGGATTGAACCCAGGGCCTTGTACATGCTGAACATGTGCTTTACCACTAAACTATGCCCCTGGCCCCAAGGATATTAATACATTTTTTCTTTAGTTCCAAAGTATATCTGTGATGCTTTCAAAGATGGTACTTATGGTAACTGATTTTTTTTTTTACTTTTGGTTTTCTTGGTTTAAAAACTAAATGAAAGCTCTCAATTATCACAAGAGACAAACTATAAAGTGCTGTTTTCTTTTTGTGAATTATAGTGTCTCATTTAATATAAAGTTGGTTATGTGGTACTGAAAACAATGATTCATTGTGCTTCTGGTTTCTTTGAAGTGTGCACTCTCCTGAGATCTAAACTGCATTTTCCTAAATCAAAGATGTAAAAGATATAATGGAAAGACTGAGAAAACCTAATACCTTTTCTCCCACAGAGCAGAAATTGGAACATTTTTTTATCACATTTTGAAATTTGTCTTCTAGTCAGTATTTGCCTACAGTCTTACATGTTTAAAGAATGAAAATAAACATGAGATAGTTATTTTTAATATTCCCAAATGGATTGTTTACAAATGAAATGATTAGAAAAACTTGATTAATGTTTTATGTTAAATAAATGTGTTAACCTGAAGACATACTGTTCATTAGAAGTAAAAGGAATTATATTTTATATTCTAAATATAACAATGAGCGAACAGTAATGCTTAGTTTAGGTAAGTTTGAGTTTTAACACACTGGCCAAATAAATCCATTTTGTTGAAACAGCATATTTTACTATAAATGATTTAAATTATTGTTAATTTAGGAATAAAATATAGAGAGCAGTAATTAAATCTATTTATATTTTCAAAAAAATTTCTTTTCTCCTTTAACTATTCATTTGAACAGTCCTAAAGAAGCTAAAATTGTAATTGCCTTTGTAAGTGTGGAATTAGTTGTATGTCCAGATATGCATTTGAAATACTAGCATTATTCTTAACAATCTTCCTATCATTTCCTCAATCTTGAGGACATCACGTGTTCAGTCCCATGGTCGAATGACTTGGCAATAGCCCTACACCACTGTGTAGTTGGCCAGAACCTTGGCATTTTTTTCCCTCTCTGGGCTGGGGGTCAAACCTTGAACAAGATGATCTGCTACTGAGCTATGGTCCCAGCCATGACCCTTTACATTTTTGTTTGTGTCTTCTAACTTCTGGATCAAATGGATATGTATTTTTATATTTTCTTTGTTAGTGGAATTAAGGTATAATAAGGTTGAAGAAATAAAATTAGCCAGATATGTGGTTTACACCTGTAAGGCCAGCTACTTGGGAGGCTGAGGCCGGAGGAGCACAACTTCGAGGCTGACCTGAGTAACACAGACAGACAGACCGACACACACACACACACACACACACACACACACACACACACACACACACTGTGTGTGTATGGCCTGGGGATGCAGCTTGGGGGTAGACACCCACCCTGCAGTTCCTCTCCCCATTACCACATACCCACGTGCACACCCATAGCCATACAAAGAAGTATTATTAAATGCTCTGTGTAATTGTTTAAAGTCTCATACTTAACAGTTGGTGAAATAAATGCCAGTGTTTGTTTCAACATGCTTAATGCTTGTTTATAGCAGGACAACTCATAATAGCTAAATAGTGGAAGTGGCATATATTTCCATTGATGGATGAATGGATAAAGAAAATAGGTATATATACACAGTGGAGTACTACTCATTCCTAAAGAAGGGTACACTTGAGTCATTTGTAGAATAATGGATGGATTTTGGGACATAATGCTAAGTGAAATAAATCAACACAGAAGATTAAATATCCAGTGGTTTCTATTGTATGATAAACCAAAATGTGAACAATTTAAAGAGCAAAATAAAGGAGAGATGGTAGAAACAGAGAGGGAGTAGACTTTTTGGAGGTGGGACTTGACCTTGGAAAGGAAAGAAGGAAGGGAAAAGGGAGTAAAAATGATCAAGATGTGATACACATATGTACCACTTCTCCAGAACAAGTTATCGAACATATATTAATCAAAAGTGAATCTATTAAAAAACTAAGAAAAAAGAAAAGGGAAGTTAAATAACCCAAGGTCACAGAGCTTAATAAGTGGAAGAGTTGAGGTTTACCCAAAGTTGAATTAGTTGTCAAGCATTGAATTCTTTACTGTTTTGTTCTAAAGTAAGCTGAAATACACTTACCTGATCTTAGCCAAAAGGCTGGGAAGAGATTGAAATAATCTGAAATGAATATTTAAGTGTCTTGGTTTTCTTTATAACAAGAGCTGTATTTTGTTAGTCTTGACTGCTCTTCTTTTTTTACTTTACAGGGTTGGTTTTAGGTTTTCATCTCAAGAAGCTGCTTCTAGTTTTGGTGATGACAGACTACTAATAGAAAAATTTATTGATAACCCTCGTCATATAGAAATTCAGGTTGGTACATTTTAAGATGCTTCTAATTATTATTGTTACATTTCATACCCTCAGGTTTGTTTGCTTGCAACTGATTGAATCAAAGGAGCGCATCAGTTTTTTTAAAAAAAGGAAGAAGGATTTACTCTAAGCTAGCTCCAGGGAGGAGGAGGAGCCCTCCTGCCTCAAATCACCATGTCACCTTTTACAGATCTGTTAGGGTCTTGTATAGCAAGAAACAGTGTGAGACAAGGAACATGAGACAGCTGAAGCATGCAGGTGGTTCCATCCCTTCCTGGACCCAGACCTCTTGCTCCCTTGCCTAAGAAAATGAGGCTGGACTTGACCTCCTGGTGCCAGCATCTGCATATTTTGTCCACTCCTCTGGGCTGACAAGGAGGAAGCTGTTTCCACCCTAAGCCTGAGGAAGTTTGGAAGTGTCCTGAAGCCACTTAACTCTAAAGGAAAGAAAAATATATGAAGTTCCATTTTGTTCTGCTGGTGCTGGTTCCATTATGACTTTTAAACAGTCTCACTTATTTACTGTCATTGCAAACAAACGTGCTTTCTTCTATTTAGAAAGATTTTGAATTGTTTTAGTAAGTTTGAATAAGTGTGAAATAAAGCGATCATCTGCTTTTGAGATTTGTTATGCTTTTTTGTCAAACAATACTGGGATGTTGGTTGGGATGGAAATGATACAAAAATCAGTCTCCAAAAAGAAACAGTCCCAAGTTGCCTAGCCAGGTTAAGTATATTCTGCAAACAGAATTGTACAGTCTGTTTCGGAGATTGGGCCATTTTGGGGGCATTTTTTAAAAGACAAAAGAGTCCTGACTTGAAGTCCTGTATAATTTCAGTTCACCAAATGTCTGTTGTGACAGGTGTTCTGCTAGAAGGTGGCTATATAGAGTTGGCTAAATAATTTCTTCTGTTCATATTGACTTAGCTAGTTGTTAAAATGGTTGTGGGAGTGTGGATGTCAGCAAAACAAAAACAGAAAAAAAAACTCTGCTGAAGTTTCTTTTGGTCAGAAATACCTGTGTGGTAATTTTATACATTGTGACTATGCATTGATAAAAGATGAACATCAAGTTAGTAACCCTTGAGTTTTAAGTGTATTTTAAAGTCTAACTTGGTGTGGATAGAGAACCAGAGAAGTAAAAAACAAACAAACAAAACATTTGCTGATACTGTCCCTTCTGTGGGGACCTTATATAACAAAACCTATATTCTATTAGTTTTATTAAAATTTAATGATTGTTTTACATATATATTACTTCTGAGTAGAAAATCTTCCTGTATATCCTCAAAATTTTCAGAGTAGGAAAAAATGTTGATAGTCTTAAACAGTGAATAAAAAGTGTTTCTTTCTAGGTCCAGCAGGTGTTGTTTTCTATTTTTTTGCTTTTAGATTTTCTACACTGAGATATTACACAGTGAAATTTATAAATTGTGTGCAATTCAATAAAAACTTTATATACACATGTGTAAATATGTAACAACTATCCAAGTATAGATCTGAAACATTTCTATTAAACCAAAGATTCTTTCACAAGACTTTTCAATTAATCTCTCTCCTTGGCTGGTGTGAGTGATAGCTAACATCATAGAGCGCTATTTTCTGGTTGTGTTTTAAGGTGTTAGGTAATAAACCCAGGACTTTTGTGTATTAGGTAAGTGTTGTACCACTGACCTGCATCCTCAGCTCCACAAGTAGTTTTTGTCTATTCTTTACAGGGCTGGGGATATAGCTGGATGATAGAGCCTTGCTTAGAATGCACAAGGTCCTGGGCTCAATCCTCATCACTACACATAAAACAAACTTTATATAAATGGAATCATTTAATATATGCTTGTTTGTGTTTTTCATGTAACATCATGTCATTGAATTCTTCCATAAAGCTTGGCATTGTCATTTGCTTTTAAATAATTGTTCTTTGTTGTCCCATTGTTTGAATAACTTTCAATTTATTCGATTTGTTGTGTGGATCATTGGGTTCTTCTCATTATTTTGATTTTAGGAATAAACATTTTTAATATATTGAGAGCTATAGTTGGGTTACATGGTAAGATTGTGTTTGATTTTAGTAGAGGCTGTGGTTGTACTAACATGCTTTCAGCAGCAATATATGAGAGTTTTCCATTACAGCTTTTCTTTTCAATACTCAGTATTCTCAGTTTTTAAAAATGCATAGCCATTTTGGTGAATATGTGATAGCATCTGTTAAATTTGAATTTTTCTGATGAGTATTTACATAAAATAGAGTTTTATTGGAGTCCAACCTAGGTACACTTTGTGCATCCAGATTAAGAGCTTTGTTTTTTTAGGTATGATATGTAGGTCTGTTACTGTTCTTGTAACCTGTTTTTTTTTTTGTTTTTTTGTTTTTTTTGGTACCGGGGATCGAACTCCAGTCCTTGCACTTGCAAGGTAGGAAGCAGAACCACTGAGCCAAATCCCTGGCCTGTTACTCTTCTTGAATGAAAGTTTTGTTTGGTGTGAGGTAGGATCAGAGCAAGAGCTTTTCTGTTTAGATATCCAGTTTTCCAGCATCATTATGGCAGCCATTTGTTACAATTTAAGTAAGACTTGGGCATTCACTTAATTATTTCAGTTTTATAAGAAGCCTAGAAATCTAATACTGTGAAAGTTCCAAATTCATTGTTTTTTCCAGATAGTTTTTGCTCTTTTGTGGTTCTCTGACTTTCTGTGTGAATTTTAGATGTTACCTATCAACCCACTTCCCCTTTCCCCACATAGAAGCTATTCTGTGGAGAACTGACATTTTAACAAAATTGAATTTCCTAATCCATGAACTGGATATCTCTTCATTTATTTTAGGTCTTCCTTAGCCTTCTCAGTATTGTTTTGTAGTTGTTTTGAGTATAGTTATTTGAGTACTGTTTTGAGTATAGCGGTATTTCATTCAGTTTATTCCTAGATTTATTTATGCCTGCATGCTGGGGTTTGAACACAGGGAGTAATGAGCTTCATCACTAACCCTTTTTATTTTTTAGATTTTGAGACAAGAATTTTTCTTAGGTTCCCAGGCTGGTCTCCAACTTGTGGTTCTTCTCCCTCAATTCCACAAGTAGCTGGGAATATAGGTGTGTGACACCATGCCTGGCTTAATCCTAGGAATTTGATAATTTTTGATACTATTATAAGTGTTTTCATTTTTTAAGTTTCATCTCTCTGTTGTGTATTGTACATGTATAGAAATACAGTTGGTTTTTTGAGCATTAATCTTGAATCTGGTGTTTCTGCTAAAATTCACTTTCAAATTTTGTGTGGTTTAATTAATTACCTTTTGATGAGTAAAAAGACACCTCAAAATGCAGTGATATAAGACATTTGTTCATGCTTCAAGGAGACTGCTCATGTCACTCAGTGTTTAGATATCTGACTTTCCTAATAGACCATGAGGTCCTTGAGGGCGTAGACTAAGTCTTAGTTCTTTGCTGTTCCTAGCAACCAAGGCTTTGTCTTTCATATTACTCATAGTCAATAAATGCTTGTTAGTTTATATAAAGTAATTGTATATCTACATCAGTCTTGTGGTTTATTTTAATTAGCTGCAGCCTATAGCTTGGATGATATTTTTAAAAATAGGTAAAAATGACTCCCAGGAGCTTGACTGGGCAAAACAGATGTTTCTCATATCTGATGTATAATTGGAAGTTTATTATTTACTTATTTTTCTTCAGTTACAACCATTTATATTGAAGAATTTGTGCACATGATAAGGGTATTCTGCAAAAAGTCCCAAGCTTTTACCTCTTCTCTGAGTCCTCTGCTTTTTGTTGCTAGATGAATGCACTGTTATTGTTTATTGAGTGATCATCCACTGTCTCTGAAGAATATATGGGTATATCACTTACTGTGTTTTACACTAGCTGTCACATACTGTGCCCTTTCTCATACTGAAACTGTACATTGACAATGTGACTACTACTCTGTTTTTATCCTCAGGTCCAGTGTTTCTCAACCAGTGAACTGCTGGCATTTCCTGGGCTGGGCTCAGGATTGCGTTATGTGGAGCAGTCTATATGGAGTTTTGCTTAAGAAGGAAGATAGCTAGCCGGGCGTGGTGGCGCACGCCTGTAATCTCAGCACTTGGGAGGCTGAGGCAGGAGGATTGCTGTGAGTTCGAGACCAGCCTGGGCTATATAGTGAGTTCCAGGTCAGTCTGAACTACATAGTGAGACCCTGTCTCAAAAAACCAAAAAAAAAAAAAAACCAGCTTGGAGTTAAAAAATATATGTATATTTAGCACATACACACACAACTGTCTTTAAAAAGAAACAATATTATACTGAATGGGAAAAAATTGAAAACATTTCCTCTAAAATCAAGAATAAGATGAAGATGTCCATATTGAACAGTCCTACTCAATATAGTACTGTACTTGGAATTTTAGCCAGAGCATTTAAGCAAGAGAAAGGATAAATGGGAAAGGAAGAGTCAATTATCCTTATTTGTACACATTATGATTCTATACTTAAAAGACCAAAAACATTTTAGAGCTCATGCAAATTCAGCAAAAGTACAAGAAGACAAAATCAACCTTATAAAAGTTAGTAGCTTTTCTAAAAAAAAAAAAGTAGCTGATTTTCTAAAAATTTGCAGTGAGCTAGCTGAGAAAGAAATCAGGAAAACAATTCCATTCATAATAGCTTTAAAAAAAAGTAGGACTTTTCCCCCCCTAACCAAGGGGATAAAAACCCTCTACAATGTAGATTATAGAACACTGAATAAAGAAAATAAAGATTTTAGAAGATGGAAAGACCTTCCACATTTATGTATTGGCAAATTAATATTGTTAAAATGTCCATATTAGTGCAAGTGATCTGTAGATTCAGTACAATCCCCCATCCAAATCCAATGACATTCTTCAAGAACTAGAAAAAACAATCCTAGTTTTCATATGGAAACTCAAAAGACCGACAATAGTTAAAGCAATCCTAAGGAAAGAGCAAGGCTGGAGGAATCACAATTTCAAATTATACTGCAAAGCCATAGTTAGCAAACCAGCATGTTACTGGCACAAAAACAGACACATATACCAATGGAACAGAATACAGGACACAGCGATAGCTATCTGATTCTTGATCAAAAACATGTTGGAGAAAGAGGCAGCCTCTTTAACAAATGATGCTGGGAAAACGATATGCATATGTAGAAGGTTGAAAGCAGGTCGCTATCTCTCACTCTGTAGAAAAAAAAATCAATTCAGAATGGATCACGGACCTAGATCTAAGACCTGAAACATTGAAACTGCTAGAAGAAAACAGGGGAAATACTTGGAAGTCAAATGCACAATCAGGAAGACTTCCTGAATAGGACTTCACTAGCACAGAAAATAGTAGCATCAACAAATGGGACTACATCAAGTTTAAAGTTTCTACACAGCAAAGGAAATGACCAAGAGAGTAGAGAGAAAGCCTAGAAAGAAAATATTTGCCAGGTACTCTTCCAACAGAGGATTAATATCTAGAATGTGTAAAGAAAGAACTCTTAACACCAAAAAAGTCAAATAGCTCTATCAATAAATAGGTGAATGTATTGAACTGACAATTCTGAAAAGAGGCCCAAAGCCTAATATGTATATGAAAATCATTTTCATCATGTTTATCCAGTAGGGAAATGCTTCAGGAGTACTCTGAGACTGCATCTTTCCCCAACTGGAGTGGTTATCCTGAAAAATTTAAAAAACAGTTAATGCTGAGGTTGCAGGCACGGTGTTGAGGAGAGAGTGAGGAACGTTTCTATGTTACTGATGAATATGTAAATTAGTATAGTTGCTATACAGGTCAGTAGGGGGTTTCCTCAAAAAAAACTAAAAATAGAACTGCTGTGTGACCCAGCTATACCATGTCTGGTATATACCCATAGGAATTAAAGTCAGCATAACATAGGAATACCTGAACACCCATGTTTATTGTGGCACAATTTACAATAGTCAAGGTATGGAACCAGCCTAGATGCCCCATCAACAAAATAGTCAAAGAAAATGTGGCACATATACAATAGAGTATTATTCAGTCATAAAGGACAAAATTATGTCATTTGCAGGAAAATGGATAGAACTAGAGATTATCAATTCAAGTGAAATAAACCACTTTGAAAGACAAGTATTGTATGTTTTCCCTAGTATGTGGAATATTTAAAAAAAAGAAAAGAAAAAGGTGGCATGAAAGTAGAAGAGAGGCTGTTATTGGACAAGAGGAAGGAAATCAGGGGAGGGCACATAATGGAAGGACAAAAGGGGACATGGACACAATAAAAATGTCACATACACATGGAAAAATACCTCATTGAAATATTTTAAAAAATAGACACCAACATACTTTTTAAAAAAGTTAAAAACAGCTCATAATGCTTTCAGGGTTAACTTCCATTTTAGGATTTTTTTATTTATACTATTTCCTGGTAAATAATCACCAAGTCAATGTTTTTGAATGCTTAGTAAATGCTCAAAACTTTTAAAAGTGAACTAGGAGTCTATACAGAATTTGGAGAAGAACACACTCTTGATTCTACATATGAATCCAATATTTTACCCCTAGAAATATTTCCAATAAATTTTGGCTATTTTGGCTTTATATCTTGGCTACTAAGTCTACTTTCAACTAAAATAAAAATAGAGACTTAGAGTTATTGTAATGATTTAGAATATTTTTAGATGTATTTCATGCAGCCACTTAGAAAACAGTTTCTAACTTTTAGCATTTTGTCACTATATTCCTTTATTACTTGGAGTTAATCTTTGTTTATTATCGGAGATCAAACTCAGGACCTTGCATACTTGGAATCATTCTTGAGTTTTAGATAGGTTACATTCCTAAAAATTAATGTTGTAGTCATATAACAGCTATTCATGTAACAGTGATCTTTTTCATTTGATTTTTATAAAACATCAAAATTACATTATCTGCTATTTATAATTTATAAAGAAATAAAATGACTTTCCCCAGGGAGATTGATTAGCTCTTTGGAGGTAAAAGTAGCACCCAGTCTTATGGCTTCTAAAATACATTTTACCTCTACAAACCTAAAATATGTGTTCAGAAATATACAAATACTGATCCAAATAATTCAATTTTAACTGAATGTCTTATATTTTATCTGGCAATCTCAGTGTATTTCCCATTAGTACAATCATAAAATCATAATGTTTTATATATTAATCACAGATCTTTTTGCCATTTTCTTTTAACAAAAATAAATCACAGCAAAGATGTCCAGTATAAATAATAGACTATTGGATGTATATACATAAACTATAGCTTCCTGATCAACAGACATTTAAAAAGATTAATAGAAATGTTTATAATGCAGTGGTGGCTCTCCTAAAGCACTGTTGACAGCTTCTAACCCCTTGGATGACACTTGGTGTCCTTCACAAAATATGTACAGTGAATTCTCATATTTTACTTGTGGTATTTGAAGTGCCACATGAAAGTCTTCCTCAGATATTTTTTATAAAAGTGTTTTATTGAATTCTGCATTGTAAATATAAAGCTTTCCTTTATTAAAATCAATCTAAAGAATGTTTTGAGAGGTGCCTTTGTTCTGTAAGGTTTGAGTATTAAAAACCAAGAGATAATGCATTGAGAAAATGTTAGCTGGGCATGACTCAGTCGCAGTGACATTTTTTTTTCCCCCCAAATGGTACTATTTTCTCAGGTTTTAGGTGATAAACATGGAAATGCTTTGTGGCTTAATGAAAGAGAATGCTCAATACAAAGAAGAAATCAGAAGGTGGTGGAGGAAGCACCAAGGTAAGATGAATGATTATAAAATAATGCCATGCTTTAGCTGGGTGTGATGCTGTATACCTGTAGTCCCAGTACTCTGGGAAACACAGGAGGATCACAAGTTCAAGCCCAGCCTGGGCGACTTAGTGAGACGCTGTCTCAAAAACAGGCAAAAAAAACCAAAAAACAAAAACAAAACTTATTTTTATGTGTTATCTAGATTTACTTTTCATTTTATTACCCAAAATGGTTTAATATTAATGTTGACTCTATTTTTATAATTAAGAATTTATTACTTGATATTCCTCCTAATGCATAAAAAAGAGAGACTACTTGAAAAAGAAGTGGGTTTTTGTAGAAGAGAAAGTTGTATAAGCAACTAACTCTTACTTTTACAGCCCTCTAAATCACTAATGTTTCATGGAATTTTCAAAATTTACGCCTTCAGGTTCTCACGTTGGAGAAGGTTTCATAATGTTCATCTTGAATTTTTCCTGCCATGAAACGACTTTCGAGCCATAGTTCTTAAAACTTTTTTGGTTTATTACAGCCTCTTTGGGTTCTTTTCTAGGCCACTTTTCATATGTTTTGTGGAGCCTCATTTCTAAGTTGATGCTGGGTTGGTATTTTTGTATATTCTGATATTCTTAAAACACTAGTTGAATTTACATAGTTATTTTAAATTACCAGGCACTAAACAGTACATCCAGTTATAGCTTAAGTCAGATAGCCAGCATGCCTTGATATAACATATTTATAGTAGGTGTGAATGAGTGAATTCTTAATCACAGGGGAATAGTAAAAACTAAACTCTATTTCATTTATATTAGTATAAATAATTATGGTATGATACAGTAGTTTTTAAGACATGGTCCCCAAGTCCTATGACATGTACCTCACTGAGTGATGAAGGGAAGGGTCTGTGTCACCTTCACTTGATTCTGTGTCCTGTCATTACTTGACCAAAAAGGGTACTTAGATACAGTGGTTTCCAGCCTGAATCTCATAAAAATCCCAGCTTCCACTTGTTGTCCCTTGGAATGCCTACTCTTAAAAATGCCTCTACTGCAGCCAACACAGTCCTGGGACTGGGACATAAGGAAGGGAGAAGAAAAGGTAAAGGAATACTCTTCCCGTGCCCCTGCCCCCTTGTGATTTTAGTAAGGATCCTGGAAGCTGCAGCTTTGATTACTTAGCATGAATCTGTAGTTAGGCCTTTAGCTAGGGAGGCTTGGAAATGTCTTTTTTCCTTCAGTGATTATGTGCTGAGCTAGAATTCTAGGAGTCTTTTGAAACTTTATGTTTTCTTGTCTACCATATCACTTCCAGTTCAGTTAACTTTCTCTTAAAAAACAAAACAAAACAAAACTTATTCAAGTCTTACCAGGAATAGGAATCTTTTACAGACTGGGAACTTTGATTTATGATTTTTGTTTGTTTCTTCTCTCTCTTTAGAGGTGGACATTTTTCATATGAACATTTTATCTATTAACTTAAAAAAAGGAAAATTTCAATCAGAAGGAATAAAAAAAATTTTCGGGGGGGTTTCGAGACAGAGTCTCATGTAGTTGAGACTGACCTGGAATTCACTGTGTAGCCCAGGCTGGTCTCAAACTTGCAGTGATCCTCCTGCCTCAGCTTCCCAAGTGCTGGGATTACAGGTGTGTGCCACCATGCCCGTCTAGGAATCAAATGTTTTGAACCCCCTCCCCCCAAAAAACATGGATGATCATTAACAAAAACTTGATATTTGTGCACTGTAGAAGTAGTTATTAGCTCTGAGAGGAAGAATGTACCACTGTGCTTTGAGGGTAATACTTAGATTTCTATTATCTCTACACCTCACTATTTAGGGTTTATGGTAAGGGAAAGGATAACTTGCTCAACAGCACTGAAATTCTCCATATTTTATGACATTAATATTTAGTTGGGTTGTTTCTTTTGGTTACATTAGTTCTGCCAGCCAGTTACTGAAATGCCGTTGAAACCTTATTCATTAGGTTAATGCAGATCTATGAATTATGAATCAGATTCATGGCACTGAGCCCATTGCTTAATTCTAGTATTACCAAAAGGAGGACAGCATGAAGTACAGTATGTATCCCACTTGTGAAGTAGTATTGCCATCCCCACCCCAACAAGATTAATTTGTTAAGGCTTTAGATATAACTGTCAGTTCATATACATTGAAATAAAATACAAGTTTAAAAGATTAAAAGACATATGGGCAACCAGGCATAGTTGTGCACATCTGTAATCCCAGCTACTGGGTAGCTGAGGCAGGAGGATTGAAAGTTCAAGCCCAGCCTGGAAAACTTAACTTGCTTAGTAAGACCCTGTCTCAAAATAAAAAATACAATGGGCTGGGGATTAAGCTCAGTGCATGGGCCGTGGGTTTGCTCCCCACTACGTGTACACACACCCACACCCCCCCCCCCACACACAGAGGGGGTGGCATGTAGCTGAACCTAGAATGTGAGAAATGAGACAGGAAAGTGACTAGGTCCTTAGTCAAAAAGGGGGAGGGCACATTATAAATTAAAAGAAGCTTAAACTACAAGAAGTCCAAGAAATCCTCTGTATAAATATTTATGAGGTAAAAAAAGATATTTGTGAGGTAATCAAGGGAATTTGGTTGGTAATTAAATACTGACTGACCAGGAATTGTTAGTTTTTATAATGTGATTATGTTATAAAACAATTCTTAGATCATAGAAATGGGAGTTTTTATAGATGGAAAGATATGTAATTTGAGATTTGCTTTAAAAGTGGGCTTGGTAGAGATCTGGACATATATCATAGGTAAAACAAGAATGTTTATATATCAGTAGTTATAGCATACTGGAGACAGGTACATGCGTGTTCTTTACACTTTTCCATAGCAAACATTTAAATCTAAATCTTATTTGAGAATAATCTTATTAGAAATCTTATTTGGAAATAAGATTTGGAGAAACAAATCTGAAATTGCAAGTTATTTGATAACCATTTTTTCGGGGTTTTAAAAAATCATTTTAGTTTTACTTGCCTGCTGGAAGGTGATTTTGATATTTTGAAACAAAGACGTACAGTCAGTTCATCTTATTTGTAGCAGTTGTGTTCTATCAAGACACAGTAAACACTGCATTAGCAAATACTACACTGTTACTCCTAGGGGAAATACAGGGTTCGGATTCTGCAAGCCTCTTTGGTCATAACATTTTAATGTAATGTGTAACATTTTACATTTTATGCAACTGATCAGTACCTAATCTTGTTTTAAGTATGTTTACATTGAAAGGCATCTTATTTAATATTTGTCGTTGATTTTAATATTGAGCTCCCAGTCTAGGCCAACATGACCATAACACCTGCCGTAATGAACCTCATCTCACACATAGGTTTTCTACATGAGGTAGTTCATAGTCTTTTTGTCTTAGGAACACTTGATGGCAAATAAGCACAGTACTCAGGAACCATTTTAAACAGTGGACTCACCAAAAGAAAAACAAAAGTGACACTAAATACACATGGCAGAGGACACTGGTTGAGTATAAGCAGTGAAATAAGACAGAATATTGTCTTGTTCATCTTTAGCATCCTGACAGTCTCAGAGTTTTCCTTTCTGTGTGCTTCACAATGACCAATAAGGGCTGCACTTGTTGAATTTGAGATTATAAATGAATATTAGCAATAAGATAAATTCATAAATATAGCATTCATGAATAATGAGGGTTGACTGTACATGTCAGTTTCTTAGAATTTGTTTTCTCTCACTTTTAGCTTGAAGTAACTCAAAATATATGTTAAATTTTGCTAGTTGAACAGTAGCAAAATTTCATAAATGGATTAAAGTTGTATAATGTGAAAGGTTTAGATGTTTTATAAAAATTTGACAATTTGTTGTGTTGTGCAGAATGCAATAAACACACACTAAAATTTACATAATTCATATAACTTATGGATTCTTGCTATAGTTAATCTATAACGAGGAAATTTTAAAAAATTTATATAATGCACAGAATATAACTTGATGTTTGTTCAAAATGCAGACAATTATTTCTGTATTTGTAGCATTTTTTTAGATACTGAGACTCGAAGAGCTATGGGAGAACAAGCTGTAGCCCTTGCCAAAGCTGTAAAGTACTCCTCTGCAGGAACTGTGGAGTTTCTTGTGGACTCCAAAAAGAATTTTTATTTTCTGGAAATGAATACGAGACTTCAGGTAAGACAAATGTTTTTATTCCTCTCTGTGGCTCCATAATTTACCCCTCTTCGGTTACCCTTTTTTGTTTGCAAACAATTTTTTTTCTAAAAGTTTGTTCTCCAGAAGTTAAAAAATGGGCCAGTAAAGTTTTAAATTTTACACTTGTCCTAAGAAATCTATTAAGAAGAACAGATAAGTATCTGGTTAACTTAAAGGTCTATGTCTAGCCCCTCTGCTTTGTTACTGTTAATACTTCATTTGGAGGGCTGGGGATTTAGCTCAGTGGTTCTGCCACCTGACTTACAAGTGCAAAGTCCCAAGTTCGATCCCAGGTACAAACAAACAAACCACAGAAACTGTGGAAATTCCATTTTGGCTTTTTCTCGAACTTTTCAGAATGAACTGTATCTATTACGGTTCATGTGCTGAGGGAAACTACTCTAGAAAAGTTAAATGCTTACAAAATATGTGGAAGAGATGGGGGAGGAAAGAAGGTAACCTGAGGTGAACTTCCTAGAATGACTCCCATAATGATAGCGCCCCACCAGGCTCCCAGAGGAATTCCAGCCTCTGCTGGTTAGAAAGGTGGGAAATCCAGCAGCTGCCGCTGGATCTGTGGACTTCAGGGACATACTTCCTCAGTTCTAGCCAGTATCTCCAGGCATCACTGGTGGCTTTACTTCCTCCTTCCCTTTCCTCTTTCATTCAAATTGGGAACTATGCACATACAGAATAGTATATAGAGCACAAATGTATTGTTGAAATTATTATAAAGCAAAAACTTCCTATATATTTAGCTGAGTCTAGAAGTACAAAAGTGCAAGCACTTTTTGGCCTGGCCCCTCATTTTCTTCTTTTTCTTAATTCTTCCCCCTCCACTTCTCTACAGCTGTATATTTTGTGGTCTGAATTCTCAACACCTATGTTTCCATCCACTTCTGCCTTTGAATTATGCACACCTAAGCAGCAATATTAGTTTTGCCTGTTTCTCTTTTTAAACTCATGTAAATGTGACCATGGGGAATATATTCTCTTGTGCTTCTTTTTTGAAAAAGATTTTCTTAGCTGGGTGTGGTGGCGGATGCCTATAGTCCCAGCACTCGAGAGGCTGAGGCAGGAGGATCGCTGTGAGTTTGAGACCAACCTGAGCTACATAGTGAGTTCCAGGTCAATCTCAACTACATAGTGAGACCCTGTCTCAAAAAAAAGAAGATTTTCTTGAATTTTATTATCAAATCTCTACTATAGAAATATTGAACTAAAAAGTGGGAACACAATGTGGAAACACTTCACTGGAGAGACAAGATGACACAATGGTTAAAAACCCAAATTGCAGAGCTGCACAATTTTAGCTGTCCTGCTAACGCTGGCTTGCTTTCTTAACATTTTATTTTTGAAATCCAATCAGGTTGTTTTTGTCCCTCCAGTAATGCTTTTCTGAAGACAACATCACTATTTATCTAGTCAATTTCTAAAGATACTTAGTTTCCAATTTTATGGAATTTGTATTTGTTTTCTAGGACTACCTCAACATCTGACTGTAAACTAGGTGGCTTAATGCCACAGAAGTTTATTCTCTCATGATTGAGGAGGCCAGAGTCTGACATCAAGGTGGCAGTGATTTGGTTCCTTCCCAAAGGCTTGGAGAGAAACTCTGTCCCGTGTCTCTCACTTAGCCTACAGTTTTGTGGTTTGTGGCAGTGTGGCTGCAATCCCTGCCTCACTTCTCATCTGACCTTTCCCATCTATCTGTGTTCAGAGTTTCCTCTTTAAGTGTACCAGTCATACTGGACTTCAGGGCCACACAACTCATCTTAATTTGAGTTCATTTGCCAAGACCTTATTTTCAAATAAAATCAGGTTCACAAGTTCTGAATAGATATGACGTTTTAGAGGATTGTAGTCAAACCAGTATACCATTCATAAAACATAGGGGCAGAAAATCAGTTAGTGATCACCTATTACTGGGATAATGGGCTCACAGCCAATGGTAGAGATGGGTAAAGTATACTTGACACCTGAACGGAGCAGCTCTTCCTTCAGGAGGGCTGTAGTAGGGGTGGAGTTGGGAGGGATGGCAGTATTACTCCAGGCAGAAGCTGAGTAGGGCTAGAGGTATTTTTGTTTTTTGTTTTTTGTCTTTTTGCTGTGTTTATTTTCCATATACCCCTGGGTTGCCTAAGGATTTTTTTCAGTTCCTATTCTGCCTTTAGCTTTACAATTTTGCTCTGAGCCTGTGCTTCACATAAGTTTGTCTTTATGCTTATACTCCTTCCCCAGAGGTAAACTCCTCTTTGTTGTTACTGAACCCCTGTTAGCCTGCTAATGGCTGTGGGGGTGGGGAGTGTTCAGTTTTCCTTTATGCCTTTGCTCTGATCAGTTCTTGTGTCCTTGGATTCATGAAGTGGTTTTCTTCAGTGGTCCTGCCCTTTCTCCAGTGAGGAGAATCTAAAGGTCTAAGCCTAAGATGGTTTTTTGCCTCCTTCTCAGTAGTTATCTTCTTTATGGTATGTCTGTCTTCCTCCTTTTACTCTTGAAATATCTGTAGACATTTTACATATGTCTTCATAAACAATGTGCACTTTTTTGGGACAAGTTTAATAATCTTTTTCTTGTATCCAGAGCATTAGTTCTATAGAAAGTTTATGTAATCTCTGATATTTTAGTCAGTCTTGTTTTTGTTTTTGTTTTTGTCTTGTGGAATGAGGAATTGAACTCAGGACCTTGTGCTTGCCGAGCAGGTGCAGTGCCACTGAGCTAAAGCTCTGGCCCCAACTTTTTTGTTTTTTGAGGCAGGGTCCTGGTAGCCTCAGACCAGTGTGATTCTCTGGGACTGTAAGAACTTTCTACTAGCCCCAGTTGGATATATTTGGATTTAAATTTAGTATTGTTTAATGCTTTTTATTAACCTCTATGATTGCATTCATTGCCTGCTTGCCTCCTTTTTCCTCCCTATCCCCATCTCCCTACTTCCCTTGATCTTTCCCCTTTTCTTTTTGTGTTTCTTGCATTTATGATATTTATCATTTAATTTTATAGCTGTACTAGGTTGGGGGCCTTTGAGTCTTTTGATAGACCCTACACATTGCAATGTGTATCATTCAGCAGTTTTTCACTTGCTCCACCATGCCACGAGGAATTTGGAACATTTTAATTCCATTTACCATCTTCTGAGTAAATGTAAAATTATCCTCCAAGGCATTTCTTTTATTAATTTAAATAGTCACTGGTCCTTCCAAACTATGCACAGATTTACCCTTTTGTTAACAGTTTAGATTTAAAATGTTCTCCAGAAATCCAGTGTTTAGGGCTGGGGCTTTTGGAAGGTGATTGAATCATGGGGGCACTGCATGAATCAGAGGATTGATCCATTGGTGAATTCATTGCTAAAGGTGGTAGGGCCTGTTCAGAAGAGATTATGACCTTGAAGGTTGTATTTTGTCTTCAGCACCCTCACCCCAACCCCATTTCCTGACTACCATGAATTAAGCATGTTTGTTCTGCCATGCCTTTCCACAATCCCATTTCTACCTTGGGGCCAGCCAGTAATAGACTGAACCCTCTGAAATCATGAGTCGAAAACAAATTCTCTTTTAAGTTGCAGGTGTTGGGTATTTTCTCCCTGCAATGGGAAAGTAACTAACATATTTTTTCTCTCAATTTGTTCCTAGAAATTTCTTTTAGAGAATACTCTTTTTTTCTTGATTGTCAGTAATTTTATTTTTAGTAATGAAGGGCATTTTTACTTTTCTTAGAATTTTTAGTTTGGCCAGTGTTCATATCTACTTACTGAAAGTACTGTCTGGCTATTTCCAGAGTGACTTTTACTTTTGTTCTATTGTCTACTTATAATTACTGTGTTTGTTTTGACAGTTTATAAATGTTTTTACTAGCTTTTATTTAGCTTTTCTCTGACATATATACTTGAATTCATTGAATCTTTTGAGTCTGTGGATTAATGTCTTTCAACATTTTTCTGAAAAATTTCTATCATTTCTGACATAACCTCCTCTTTTTTTTTTCCTCTTATTGGGAATTGAACTCAGCACCTTGTGTTTGTAAGGCAGGCATGGTGCCACTGGCTAAATCCCTGGCCCCAAAACCTCTTCCTTTTCGTTCTGTGTTTTCAATTTAGAATTTCTTAATGTAATTGTTGTTTCTTTTCTTTGATATTTTTCATCATTTTGGTAATTTCTTCTGACCTTTTCTTGAGCTGCATTTATTTAATTAATCACTCATTGGATTTCTGATTTCAGTTCATATTTCAGTTCTAGAAATTCTGTTTTAAATTTTATTTTATGAAAAAATAAAAATAAAATAATTTCTTAATAAATGAGAAATAATAGTTAATACCCTGTATCATCTTCAATGATCTTTCTCAGAGGCAAAAATGATTCTCTCTGGCAAAGATAAAACAAACAGATAACACAAAACTTTCTTTTCAGTGAACTAAGAAAAATTAGCAGCATAAATGAAATGAATTAGCATATGTATTAAAATTCTTCTGATACAGTGGAATAGATAATTGAAGAAATTATTTGAACTTCTCCCCACTTCCTGTTTATCTTTTATCTTGCTCTTCATTTGTGTGTATATGTATTGTTTCTCATTATAAGAGAAGCTCTTAGTTCTAGAATTTTAATTTTTTTTAAAAATACAATTCAATGCTTTTTGTCTTCTCTCATCATCTATCCAGAATTTTGACTTTGGTTATTTCTTTGAGCACAATTGGCTTAGTTGTTTTGTAGTATGTGATAATTTCCATATGTGAAGTCTTATGACTTTTTTGTATTCTGTGTTGCTTATGCTTTTTTTTTTTTTTTTTTGGTTGAGCTGTTTAGTTACTTGAGTGAATTGTTATCTCTGACTATATACTGGTTATTTAAAATTTTGTTTTTAGGGCCAGGGATTTATCACAAGAGGCACCATTGCCTGTCTTGCAAGCATGAGGGTTCTGAGTTTGATCCCTGGTACTGAAAAAAATTTTTTTGTTTTTATTAATATATGAAAACTTAGTT